GAGGGTACAGTTAGATGTTTTAAAAACAGGGGTCCATATGATTTTATTCTGTTGCAGTGTTTTTCAACCTCATAACCATCTCCCCCTTTAAGATAGTAGCAAAAGGTCTGCTTGCAAAAAATAAATAAAAATAAACTGCTACCTGTGAAAAGTAATAATTAGCACACTGCTAAGTGTTTGTTTGTTTTTTACTTTACTGTTAATATGGATTCTAGTTTTGCATCCAAGATGGCAGTGAGCTCTTAAATGTACATATTGATTGCACTCTAGCAAACAGTAAATTCCGAAGGACTCTTCACTTTATGTGTAAATGTTTTGCCATCAGAACAGACAGCTTCATAGAGGTGTTCAAAATGCAAATTATTCCTACAGCAGCAAAACTAAGGGACGTGACTCTGTCAATAGGTCGAAGTTTAATTTCAATCTCCTCTCGCCCATTCCACTGTCAGCTGCAATTTTGCCCACGGAGCCAGATGTTGTTCACCTTCATAACAAGCTTCTGCTTAAATCCTGTTGCATATTTAACATCCACAACAGGATTTGTGTGGTACCAAATCTTGTTTATTGGACATTTGTCATCCATTTCCATGTGGTCATTATGGTGATCCGTTTAGCCCTGGATATTTCTGAATCCATATTTTGTGACCGTGGTGCTTTTCAATTCATTTTCAGTTTATGCGCCTAATAGGCTGGCTAGGTGAGATTAAGAGATGGAGACACTTGCTCAAGGTCACCTACTGGGTTTTCAAGTTGCACGGGGGCTTATAAAACCCTGATCCATTTAGAATGATGTGCACACGGGAGGCTTCAATAGTATACATCTCTTACTGGGTTTGGAACCATGTGCACAAATGGATATTGCATGTATTGCTCAAGGACATCATGTAATATCCAATTTGTGTGTGTGTGTCTTTCTTATGTCAGGAAACTGGTAGCTGCAAGCATAGACCAGACCAAGATCATCAGCCCTGATAGTACAACTCAGCGGGAGTAAAGGCAGATATTCAGCCTGGTTTGGTTTCTGTGAATTTGGTTTCTGTGAATTTCCGTGTGAACTGATCTCCTGATCTGCACATTTCAGAGCAATGTGCAGATCAGGAAGTGATTTCCCTTGGAATTTCAAAATCCTCCCAATTTTGTGATATACTTACTGTCTCCAAAAATAGTCATACCAAAATGTGTGGGAAATGTGTATTTAAACATGCATACATTTGAAGTGCCTGAAGACAGTCAGGTCATGTATCTACAGCAGTAATCAGACAAGGAATGACCACTTGGAAGAGCGCAGAGAGAAGAAACATCATGGTGCATCTCCAGCAGCACAACCGGACGCCTTCCTCTGCCCCAGCTGCAACAAAACATGTCTCTCTCCCCTATCAGTCTCTACAGTCACAGCAGGCACTGCAACTTTCCAGCAGTTTGACCTCACCCCGCCCCCCCAAAGGTGAACTCCTCCATTGTCTCCCATGACAGGCAGATGCCAACCAACCAATGATTAATAAGGATTTAAATGTGAACTCCATAGAGATGTTTTTAAAATAAAAATAGCAGATTAATGTGAAAATGACTCAAAGAGACACAAAGGAGGAATAAATGGATCCTTCCATTCCTGCATCAGTGTCCATCATTTGAGCTAATCACAGAAACTTGCAGAATTGGTGAGCACACAGTTGAGATGATTCCTAGACAGATCAAAGCCAGTGGCTCTCAAATCCAAAGCCAAGCAGTCTGGGAAGCGTGGGATAACCAGTCTCGTATAACCAAGATGCTTAAGTCCAACTAATGCATGACAGGCTTAATACCATAGAGTAAGCAGTCCTGGAGAGCTTTGCTGTGCTATTTCCTGTGGAGGTAACGCTCCGCTTTGCGAAGGCAAACCTCGCACCAGACATGCAACAGTGTGTCAAGGAGCGTTGCACCTGCTTTCCCTGAGCTTTTGCCTTCTTGGTTAGAAAACAGGGTTTCCCCCTGACCTTTTGTCCCCTCACAATTTGTTTGTTAGACATATCGCTTGGCTGGAGCATGACCGGGGACGCAGACGTAATCAAGTATCGGGGGAATATCTGAGGGAAATACCTGCTGACACGTGTATTTGCTAACGCTGGAAATGTGCTTAGATGGAAATACGTTAAGTTCAGGGTGGTTTCACTACTGTTTCCAATTGTTGACTTCTGCTAATAAAAGGAGCCTCAGCAGAGCTAGTCGGCAGCTTGCTTAGAGCATGTGTGCTTCTGCACAGCTCACCTGCATCCAACCTCCTGTTGTCTCCGTTATTCCTACAATTTCCATTATCTTGGGAGGAAATAGATAATAAAGCCTATTGTCCCTTCCCCCTGCCCGGTCCACCCGAGAAACCCAGCGTATGAAGAGGTCAGGGCTGGTTGCTCCAGCTTCGCTGCATGGCTCTCACTAGAGATGTGACCCAGAAGTTGGGGATATGAGCATCCATCCTTCATCACTTGCTAAGATTTAGCTCTCAGCACCTTTCCCCCTCTGCAGAGGCAGGGGACCTGTTAGGATGGTTCACCCTCAGAGGTTGATAGATCCGGTTGTCTTCCATAAAGCTCTGGGGGATTTTCCAGGCTGATATGGCTGATTTGGGGAATACACAAACCTGCCCATGGCCCTGAGTCCCTTCTCTTGTTACATGAAGCCCACTTGGCTCCTTGGGGCACAGCCTGCCCACAAGGGTGGGGGGGGGAGATGCTTCAGTCAATGTCCCCCACCCCAGTAGTAGTGATAATAATAATAATAATAATAATAATAATAATAATAATAATAATTTATTATTTGTACCCCGCCCATCTGGCTGGGTCCCCCCAGCCACTCTGGGCTGCTTCCACAGATACATTAAAATGTCACACTTTAAAAACTTCCCTGAACAGGGCTGCCTTAAGATGTCTTCTGAATGTCAGGTAGTTGTTTATTGCTTTGACATCTGATGGGAGGGCGTTCCACAGGGCGGGCACCACTACCGAGAAGGCTCTCTGCCTGGTTTCCGGTAGCTTTGCTTCTCGCAATGAGGGAACTGCCAGAAGGCCCTCGGCGCTGGACCTCAGTGTCCGGGCTGAACAATGGGGGTGGAGAGGCTCCTTCAGGTATACTGGGCCGAGGCCGTTTAGGGCTTTAAAGGTCAACACCAACACCTTGAATTGTGCTCGGAAACGTACTGGGAGCCAATGTAGGTCTTTCAAGACCAGTGTTATGTGGTCTCGGCAGCCGCCCCAGTCACCAGTCTAGCTGCCGCATTCTGGATTAGTTGTAGTTTCCAGGTCACCTTCAAAGGTAGCCCCACGTAGAGCGCATTGCAGTAGTCCAAGCGAGAGATAACTAGAGCATGCACCACTCTGGCAAGAGAGGGACTGATGGCAATGCTCTGTGGGATGCTTCCACTCCCGCTGAGAGGGAAGGCATCCTGCCACCTACCTTGAGGGGAGGTGAGGGAGGAGATCTTCCCGCACCCAGCAGTGGGGTGAGGTTTTGCACTGGCTTCTCCTGAAGGGGAGAGCCAATGAAAAATCCTGCTTTTGGGCAGGAGGGGGGATTCAGAGAGGATACCTTGCAGAGTTTGCACCCCCATTGTGGGGGGCGGCAGAGGGAATGTTTCATCTCAGGTTCCAAAACACCTCAGGCCATCCCTGGGTACACACCAGACCTCAGCGCAACGAATTGAGCTGGGAGACATCTTGAGCACAAGTGGAGGGAAACTCCAAATGAATGAAATCAAACACTGGGGAGAGAAGTGCTTTTTTTAAACCAGCTCTGCTCTTGTGCCTTGACAGGCAGAAATCCAACTGGTGAAGCTTTCCCCTTTCTATTACATCCATGTCAAGCAAAGTTTTGACAGATGAATGCCAGGCTGCTAATAAATGCAGATCACTACAAAGTGTGGCAAACAGAGAAGCAGGGCGGGGGAGGGGGGAGAGAAAAACGCATCTAATAAATATGGCGGGGGCAGTACTCAAATTGCGATCTGGCACCAGTTATGCATCATGTTTCACAAACATACACAGAAAGGGAAGCCAATTAAGCTGAAATATTTCATTCTGTCAGAAAAGGTTTAAAGGGGTCAAGCATTAAAGACAATTAGTGAAATATCTGTTGTTCCGGACCTTCTTTAATGATGAGCCTTTCTGCAGAACTAGATGAACTCATACAAACGGAGAAAATGCTGTAAAACCGGTGTGTTTTGGACTTGATTCTGGAACAGGAGAAACTTCTTATGAGAAGTTACACTGAAAAGATGAGTTGGACTACTGCAATGCGCTCTACGTGGGGCTACCTTTGAAGGTGACCCGGAAACTGCAATTAATCCAGAATGCGGCCGCTAGACTGGTGACTGGGAGTGGGGGACTGGGACCACATAACACCGGTCCTGAGAGATCAGCATTGGCTCCCAGTACATTTCCAAACACAATTCAAAGTGTTGGGGCTGACCTTTAAAGCCCTAAACAGCCTTGGTCCTGTATACCTGAAGGAGCGTCTCCACCCCCATCATTCAGCCCAGACACTGAGATCCAGCGCCGAGGGCCTTCTGGCGGTTCCCTAATTACGAGAAGTGAGGTTACAGGGAACCAGGCAGAGGGCCTTCTTGGTAGTGGCGCCCACCCTGTGGAACACCCTCCCTTCAGATGTGAAGGAAATAAGCCGCTATCTTCTCTTTAAAAGACATCTGAAGGCAGCTCTGTTTAGGGAAGTTTTTAATATTTAATGCTGTATTGTTTTTAACACTTGATTGGAAGACGCCCAGAGTGGTTGGGGAAGCTCAGCCAGATGGGAGGGGTATAAATAAATTATTATTATTATTATTATTATTATTAACCTAATGGGGAAAAGAAACCCTTCCCCAAGCAAGGAGTGACAGAAGAAAGGCAGGCATGAGATGGGGGAGGGACGTTTCAGCATTGCACCTTGCCATCCATTGTTACTTAAATGCAACTGGATGGTGTACTTGCTGCCATGCAGTTCTGAATGCAAGGATCCTTTCACAGAGTCCACGATTACTGGGCCAGCAATTCCATTAACATTTGCATCCAGATCCTAAAGACGTCATCCCCAACTGGCTCTTTCCCGACTGCCAGGCTCGGAAGGCTTTGTCCTTTAGGCTCCAATCCATCCATTGCTTCCGGGATCCATGAGAATTGATACCTCACATTACTGTTGTTGTTGTTGTTGCTGTTGTTGCATTTATATATATAAAAAGAAATGTCCCAGTCTTCCCTCCCCTGATCTCTCATCAGCCCGGCATCATGACCATTAGCCTCGTGCTGCAACACAAATATTTGCCCGATTAGCCGCCCCTGTAAAAAGACGACGTGGAAATACGTCATCCAAAATGCCTGGTGCAGTCCCCACTGCTAATTTCATCTGGAGAACAGCAAAAGGCAGAAGGTCAACAGCATTCAATGCCAACCTGCATGAAATCCTACATGGAAGTCCATTGGGAATGCAACTCTTTTGCCGATTCTCTGTTTCCCTCACTTCCACCTGCACCTCACACCCTGGAACAGCCTTAGTCAATACTTGAGTCCCCAAGCCAGTTTCAATCTTAGTGAGAATCCTACGATACAGGGGAAAGGAAAATCAACCCCCCACCCCATTCCCAAATCAGGAGCACTTTGGAAACGCAAGCGTCTCTCCCGCCTCTCTGGTTCAGATTATTGGTAGAAAGCGCTGTCTCTTTTTGTCAGAAATGTGAAACGAAACACTCACCCACAGCATATTTGCCTGAAGGCTGAGCATTCTGTGGATTGTTGAAGGAATTCCATCCTCTCAATAAAAGCATGTTTTGGATCACCAGGTTCTGCTTTCAAAGAAGTTTCGGAAAGATTATTTTACAGGCCACAGACATTAAACTACATGGAGAGTATTTTTATTGCAGAAAGAAAGAAAGAAAGAAAGAAAGAAAGAAAGAAAGAAAGGCATATAAGGTTTTCAGGCAAACTACACCATTCATGTTGCTTGAAGGATTGTTTTCAGTGGAATATGGTAACCAGCTGCCTACAAATGGGAAGAAATTTTCCTTCGGATTTGCCGTCATAGAGGTGTATGCCTGCAGCCGAATACTTGAACAAGACATTCACTTCAGAAGGAAGTTACCACCAAAGAGAAATCAGTTGTTTGCCAAGGAAACCCTGTTCTGAGTTGAGAATAAACTCTGCAAACCAAAAATATTTTGTGTACTTTTTTGGGGGGTGGTTCAAATTTCAAGTAATTTTTTTTAAGAAAAACAAAACCCCAAAATGGAGAATGGAGGTGCCAGAATGCAAGAAGGGAGAGGGAGGCATTTGTAGTGGGTGTATGTGAGCAGTTGTTGAGACTGGAAGCTCAATGTGGCAAACAATTGTCTATTTTGTGCATTGCATGCTGTAAAGCAGATGGTGCTAGATAAGCAATAATCATTAACCACAGAAGTGGTGTTGACTGGGAGATTCCGGAATGTTTCCTATGGCTTCTGGGATTTCCTCAGATTCTACTCACCCGTTTTTAACAGGGCCTCCATGAGAACTAGTGGAGTGTCTTTCAAATGAAACCCAAGATCATCAGTTTTCAGATTTCATGCATGCACAATTAGTGAATGTATCCTGGCAACAGAAGCTGTCTTCCCTACAGAAGCCTGTTTCACCTCCTAAAGCTTATCTGGTTATTAGGCATGCTTAGATCTTTCACTTTTGGGGTTCAGCTGGCATGATTAATTTCACGCGGCTGAACAAATTTTGAGTGTGCAATTTGATTCATTAAAATCATGTCCAAGGTCATAAAGCTCAAACGTGCGTAGAGGAAGGCGACCCAAATTATAAAGGGTCTGAAAACCAAGCCTTATGAGGAATGGTTGAGGGAGCTGGATCTGTTTAGCCGAGAAAAGAGGAGACTGAGAGGAGATAGCCAATTTCAAATATCTCAAGAGCAGTCACATGGAAGAGGGAACAAGCATGTTTTCTCCTGCTCTGGAGGGTAGGACTCGAACCAATGGCTTCAAGTTACAAGAAAGGAGATTTGAACTAAATATCAGGAAGAACTTTCTGACAGTAAGAGCTGTTTGACAGCGGAACGGACTCCCATGAGAGGTGGTGGACACTGGATGGCCATCTGTCATGGATGCTTTAGCTGAGATTCCTGCATTGCATGGGGTTAGACTAGATGACCCTTGGGTCTCTTCCGACTCTACAAATCTATGGTTGTATGGCACTTGGTTACCTCAGTCAAAAATATTTTGAAGTCCTCACAAAAAACCATCAGCATTTTTCTACTGACAGACAGGTTTTTGCAAGCGATTTTCCAAAACACAATGAATTTTTTCTGCTTGTTTTCACCAATATATTTCTCTTTATGCATACTTTCCCTTAAAAGATGCGTCATTGTACATATTTAGGGTGGGACAGACAACTGCATCAAAAAAAATCAGTATGACTCTCATGGTTTGAACATTGTTTGGGTAAGTAGGAATTAAGCCAACTGAACTGAATTTCTCCCTGTCCCTGCAGGGCTGACACACACTCCTTTTTCAATAAATAAATAACATTAAGACTCAGTTGATTTTACCATTTTGTGGAGTACTTTTAGGATTGGCCTTTCACCCTATTTCACATTAGGCCTAAGCTCACAGTGATTCCCAAAGAACTTAGGTCTAACAACTGCCACATTTCAAACTGGAGTTTTGCTGCAGTTTCAGGGGAGCGATATATTGCCTCTCGAACACCAGAGTGACTGCACATGCTGACCGCACCTTTAAAGCAAGGAAAAGGTTGACGGTGTGCTCTGAAAGCATGTCAGCCGGAGTTAGAATTGCCTGGACCCAGCTAAAATATGTGGTGTCAAGCACATGAAGTAAAAATTGGTATTATAACACTACAGGGTATATTAGGAGGAGCTCTATTCTGCTACGTAAGTAACCTTGTTGAAACCGTTTTGGCTGCTCTTGCAAAACTGACTGAAAGAGTCAATCTCCAAACCGGTTTCGCTCAGGTTTATCAGCAAGATTAGAGTTAACATTCCACACTGACTTCAGTAACGCTCCTTCCAATTTATACAAGTGTGCGTGAAGCTTGGGTATGGCTAATGCCGACTTCAAGAACTTTTCGTTTGAGGGAGTGATATAGCAGTATCTCCAAGGGTCACAGGAAAGAGGGGAAACCTGACTCCACCTGCTTAGAGAAAGGATCAACACCTTCCCTGCTACTGGATCTTGTTAATACTTTCTCTTTCTATAGCCCTGAAAATGAGGAGGAGAAGTTGCCACTTCACTAAGCCAGCGTCCTGAGACTTGTCATGGCCTCTCTCTCAGGAACCCAGGGCTTGGGACTTCTCCACAGCTACTCAATGTGTTCCTGCTGGCCTCTTGCCTTCATGTACTCACATGGATACACAGGACTTCGTTGTTGTTGCTGCTGCTGTAGCAGCAGCAGCACCCCTCTCTCTCTCTCTCTCTCTCTCTCTCTCTCTCTCTCTCTTTCTCTCCTGCCCACAGTGAAAAACTCACAGGCTATATTTTCGACCCCAGTGTCAACGGCCAAGGGGATTTGTTAATTTACATGATTTGAGGAAGTTTTGATAATTCACAGGGGTGAAAATAGATACAGTCATACCTCGGGTTACAGACGCTTCAGGTTGCACAATTTCGGGTTGAGCACCATGCCGAACCCGGACGTACTGGAACGGGTTACAGAAGCACTAAATCGCACTTTGCGCATGCGCAGAAGTGCCGAATTGCAACCCGCGTGTTCGCAGACATGGCGCTGTGGGTTGCGGACGCTGCAGGTTTTGAACGTGCTTCCCGCATGGATCACATTCGCAACCTGAGCGTACACCGTACAATAGATATGGTTTAACTCACTTGCAGGTCCAGGTGCCACGCTCCCCAGTCCCCAGCCCAGATAAATAAAAGACCACTAAGACGGGTTTGGATCAAAACAGGCCACAACTTCATTGAATACAGATGAAAGAGGTTTGGCTTGGTCATGGGGCAATCAAAATACTTCCAGCCCACCCACCGAAAGTGATGCGTAGGTCAATCCAGGCGGAGGTTCTGAAGACTTGCATCCAATAGGGTGACCTCCGCAGGGACCACCATGTGGGGGAGTGCCTTTGGCCCTTGCCCCACCTGGGCGCTCAGACATGACTACTCCCCCTGGATCCCTTTAATGGGATACCCCAACATTTGGAGGGGCAGGCAGAGACTACAACCTCCTCTCCATCCACGACAAAGGATTGCCCCTATGCCCAACCCAGTTGGTGTTTCGTATCCTAACGTCATTGGCTACAAACAATCTGACTGATTGATGGCATGCGTGCATGACAGCAGCAGCAAGCGCCGGGCTCCAAAGGGTCGCGCAGAGCTGCCTGCATTCGGAAGCCTGGGGCGCGTCTCCCTAGGCTTGCGGATAGCAGGCTGTTCTGGGGGCTGGGGTCGGGGGAAGCTCGGGCTTCCCCCGCGCCTGGGGGGGGGAAATAATTTTTTTTTCTTTATTTCCCCCCCATAAAAACTAGGTGCGTCCTCTGGGGCGGTGCGTCTAATGGTGCGAAAAATACGGTACAAACATGCATACATGCATACATACCTGGGATGCTAGGATAGGAAGCACCCACATGATCTAGCCAGTGATGAATCAGGAAGCATCATTAGAGCAGCAGGCACAGTGCAAATGTTGCTTGAATTGGTCCTTAGATGCCTTGGCGGAGTTCAGAACCAAGCTTATTCACTGAAATCACTATCCAAAAACCCTCCCATGCTAATACATTGGGAAGTGAGGGCTATAGGGAAAAAAAAGAGGGGCATGATTGTTGCACTGGAAGTTAGCATGGACACCACAGGGGCTTGAACCCCGTCCTGGGAACCAGGAGCGCCGACCACCAGTGTCTTTTGCTTTTTTTTTTGAGCAATGCAACAAGGTAAAAAGCAAAACCTGAGAGAACATTCTGCAAATGTTCTCTCAGGGGGGAAAAAACCCCATAAGATGTTCAGAAGAGCTCTTTGGAGTGACCTGTGAAAAGACCAGCAGAAAAGAAAATGAGAAAAAGGAGAGACCAATACAAAAAATATTATCTTGAAAAAAGACCACTGAGTGGTGGGATGTGAACTTACCTAAAGCAGCACAGTCCAAATGCAGGCGACTCTCCCCTCAGGTACAGTGAAGTGTGGGAAGCCTGTAGGAAAGAAGAGTTGGAAGAAAAGAAGAAGTGCTCTCCTACCTGCAGGTGAGCCTCATTGTGGCGACACAGAATATGGCCTCTTCTGACAACTCCGTCACCGCAACCTGAAAGAGTCTTAGCACAAAGAGTTGCAGAAGGAACACAACATAAATTTTCTTCCCAGCCAAGCAAAGGATACTCACTTAGATGTCCTTCAGGCATAATGTATACAAGTATATTGCTGCTGTCATTGTGATGTAGTGTTTAGGGTTTACTTGTGAGGTACCTGAGCCTTACATCAAACCACCGACCTTCTGATCGGCAAGTCCTAGGCTCTGTGGTTTAGACCACAGTGCCACCCGTGTCCCAAGGTGAATGAATAGAGCACCTCAAAATTGGTGCAGGCAAGGCTCCACAACCCATAAATCTGCCACTGCTCAACACCACGTCCTCCTGCACATTCAACCAGCATCTACTCATCTCCCTGTCTTCCATAATTAGGTCGCCACTGGCTATCACATCCATGTCCCTCTAGCAAAGCGTGCAGAATTGAAAGGCACCCTACAGCTGTAGTCTTTCTCCCCCTGGTCCCCATGTCTTGGATTCCTTCTCTGGGTTTCCCATGCTCCCTTTGAGGGTCAGGCACCCTGGTTTGGGATGTTTTGTTCTTCAGGAAGCAAATATCTTGCTGCTCTTCCAGCTTCAGCCATGTCAACCAATCCCGACTGGTGCCTTTTTTTTAACTTTGTGGAACGGAATGGCCAAACACTTAACTCTGCCAATCAAAGGGAAACTTAGCTTGAAATATTTTCCCCATGTGTTTCTCTTTGGGAGCCCCACTTTAGACAAACTCGTTCTGACTTTCATCTGGTTTGAACATCAGAATAAGACAATTAGAAACTGATGGAAGCTGTATTTTTTTTTAAAAAAAAAAGTGGCCCAAACCCATGCCATAAACTTTCTGTGACTTTCCAAGGTGTCAGTATTAACAGATTTGTTAATGATTGGAGATTTATTAGATATGAAGATATTTCTCCCATCAAACTCCTTCTCTCCCCCCCCCCCACTGTTTTCCAACTCTGCAATGCAGATATCTTGTAGAAACAGATGGTTTGTACTAGCTGAGGAGCATCCTGGCCTACATTACATTCCCTCTTTATTAGATATCATTGCTGGGCCCTTTTGCCAACTGCTCCGTATTACAGTAATTTGTGAGTATCTTCAACAGGAGCCCCTTATGAAAACACCACGGAGACCTTGAAAGGCCACATGTGCTTCTGTGTTGAATCACATCAAAACCCAGGTCACGGGAGGCACCGCTCTGCGCTGCTTTAAAATTCTCCTTGCCACCCTGTTCCGATCATCCTGTAACATCAGAGTTAAGTCTGTTCATGCGGGTTTCATTCATGCATTTAACCTTTGCAAAGGTAAAACTAATAAAGATTAGATCCAACTGTCACTGTGTTAGATCACAGCCTCCAACTGAGCATATGGTATGTCTGGGCATGAATTATGTTCTTCGATGCATAGATCTGCAGCTCAGGGTTTCTGCTTGAAATTGGCAGGACGGGGGCTCCTGTCACCAAGGTGATTATATAGCCAAAGGTCAGGGGTTGTTGGAACTATCAGAAAATATTAGACATAAGAAAATACCAACCCAAATATCTACTGGAAACCGCAAAACCTGCTTTTCTTCTCTGCACATGGAATAGGACAATAGACAATGCCTATTTATCAGCAGTAAGGCATATTGATCTATGTGTTAGTTACTTCCAAGGAAGTGGGTGAGTCTGCTCCTCTCTGTCTCTCCCATCTTTAGTTTATCATGGACTGTCACAGCTCTGTCCCTCTAGTGCAGCTTTTCTCAACCTGTGGGTTTCCAGATGTTGTTGAACTACAATTCCCATCACCCCTAGCTAGCAAGGCCAGAGCTCAGGGAAGATGGGAGTTGTAGTCCAACAACATTTGGGGACCTGCAGGTTGAGAACCGCTGCTCTAGTGAAACATGTGGCCTTGCAAAATACCACAGAGCTGCAATTTTCTCCAAATTGTGTAGGATTATTGAGTGTGCACTCCTGTCTCAAAGACATCTACACTGGCTCAGCCGTGCCCACAGAATGGAAGATGGCAGGGTCCCCAAGGACGTGCTCTACGGGGAGGCCAACTCTGCATTGTAAAGATGTCTGCAAGCATGACATGAAGGCTGGCAACAACAACCGTGCTATGTGGGAATCACTTGCAGGCGACCGCAGTGCCTGGAGACATGCAGTTTGTGCATCTATAGCAGTGACCAGAGGAGGAATGACTACTGGGAGGAACACAGAAATAAAAAACACCATGGTGCAGGGGTCAGCAACCTGAGGCCTATGGGCCACAAGCTGCCCATGGGGGTCATTTTACCGACCCATGAGCCGCCCCTGAATCGAGTCACCTGCTCAGTGAGTCCCCGCACGCTGCGCGAAACCAGAGCAGCACAGCGCGAGGACTCGCTTTCGTGGTACCAGAAATCATGTCTGCACAGATGCAGATGCTGGAAATTGTGTATGCACAGACGCAGACACCAGAAATTGCACATGATCCCACGATCCGGCCCACAGCAGTGAATCAGCCAAGGCAAGGTAAGCCATGGTGCATCCACAGCAGCACAACCTGATACCTTCATCTGCCCCAGCTGCAATGAAAGATGTCTCTCCTGTACTGGTCTACGTAAGGTCTGTACCTACTCCTTAAGAGGCAGTGTAACCCCCTCAAGAGCAGGCAACCTCTCTGGTCCTGGGAACTATCAATTAAAAGTGCCTCTGTCTTATCTGGATTGAGCTTCCGTATTCTGGCTGCAGTCAGAAGGATCACATTTAAAGGACAGGGTATGTCAATTGGCCAACGATACCAAGGTGCATGGTTTCAAGGGTTTTGGTTTTTTTTCCATTTCCCATGAATAACCTGCAGATAGATTTCCCATAAAGCAACAACAACAGAGCAAATCCTGGTGCCTTTAGGCAGACCTTCCATTTATAATATATCATTACTTCCCAAACAGCCTTACCATCTCCCATAGCATCTTCAGGGCATAGCTTCTTCCCAACCCCTAAATGCAGTTTTTAAAAAACCTACCACGCCTCATTAGGCACCTGTTTAGATGATGTCAAGAAACTGTGACGGCACTAAACCCTGACCTTTGACCTTTCCTGGTGAATGCCAAAATGATTATTTCCACGGATTCCCATCCTGACATCAGGGAGCAATTGGTTAATCCTCAGATCCTCCCGACTTGTTATCTGTCCTGGCCTCTGTGCCTGTCACCTTCTGTGCTCCTCCGATTTACTGAAGATTGAATTCACAAACTGACAAGCGGGGTTGGGGGGGAGTCGGAGCTACGCTGTGAAGTGGAATTAGCTCCCTTTCACTAGGAAAACAAATGTAGAAACACACACATGCAGAGAGAGAGAGAGAGAGAGAGAGAGAGAGAGAGAGAGAGAGAGATGCAGCTAGCAGAGGTTCCACTCCAGCTGTGTTGCTAAGCTGGCTTCTTGAGACTGCCTGCTACTGCTGGTTTTTGAGAGAGAGAGAGGTGCAAGGCAGCAGGGAACCCAGTGCAGTGCGAGCACAGCAGCAAAGCCAACCCACTGCTCCTGCCACCGTTTTCACCATGCTGAATTCCCTGCTCCCTTGCCTCTCCTCCAGGTGGTACCTGGCAGCACCACTGGCAATCCCGATCGGTAAGGCAGCCCTGCCTTTGCTGCCCCGCTCAGAGATTGGGGTGGTATGCAACAATACACAGCGGTTCGAGTTTCCTTTGGGATGAGGTTCAGCAGAGACTGAGATTGCAGAGATTGCAGGGGGTTGGACTAGATGACCCACAGGGTCCTTTCCATGAAGTGTTGCGTGTCGAGGTCCCCAAGCCACCCCCCAAATAACTCACAACGCACACTTAATTTTTGTTTAAGGTTTTTGGCATAATTTTGGCCACAACTTTATTTAAATACAAAACCGTGAGTGGTTGTTTAGGCATTGGTTAAGACTATCTGTCCCCCCGCCTGGGGACAGAACTGACTTCCGGGCACCACCGAAAGACAGTGCGGGAAAACAAGTCGGGGAGAAATGGAGCTGAGTCACAGACCCTCAATTCTCATCCGCATGCTCCCCGAAGGCTTGCCGGCCCTAGTCCCGTTCCAGGGATTGGACGAAAAGATGGCAAGCCCCAGGATTCCTTTAACGGAATTCCCTTTCTGCAGCAACCATGGAGGGCAGGCCCAGCCTATCCTAACCCCTCCTCCACCAATTTATAACCAATGCCTAACCACAACCTTACAAGTTGTGATGATTTGCTACGCAGTAGGCAAAAACCAAATGGCCCAGCCAATCAGCCAGATGGACAAAATTCCTACCAGGCCCCTGCCCCAATGGCAGACGACCCCATGACAGGCATAGCAAGGTCAACGCAAGAACCCCTTACTCTAGGGCGGGTGGGCGGGTGATCCGTTGCACGCAGCAAAGAGAAAGCTCCAGGCTGCGTGCAGAGTATTTAAACATTTTACCCCTCCCACCAAAATTGCAACATAACTTTTACCCCAGCAACCCAGTGAACTAATCACTGCCCCAGGCCATCTTTAGAGACCCTGCCTGGTAACAGAGGGGTGGCTCAGCAGACCCCACCGCAACACGTGCTCTCCATGAAGGAGAACACACTTTACAATAGGTCCTTTTTATGCTTCCATGCATGTAAGATATCTATGCTCTGGAAAAAGATGCAAAGCAGCCCTTCTGCGGGAAGAAAATATGTTTCCGTGTAGCACATCTTTTCAATTCAGCAGCAGGAATGCCAGGAACAGAGGAGAGAATTATAATGGAGACCTGTAAGTAACTGGTTTGCATCCTGCTATTTGCAGGTACAGCTAGTCTTTAAGGGATGACAAGATTATTGTGTTTGCAGCAAGAGATTGAGACAATTTTTCCTTGGGAAGTGAACTAGTCAAAACTGTGCCTTGCTGCCTCACTGGAGTCTCACCGATCATCTTTCAGAATAGTTATGTTGGATGTGAGATCTGCTATTGCTGCAGAATAGGGTTGCCATATTTCAAGAAGTAAAATTATGGACACTTGGAATTCCGGACATATAGATGTGCATCCGTTTCAATGGCTGTAGCCTTTGCCTTTGTCTCAATCTCTCACAAAAAGTGTTAGTATCAAGACAGCAAAATACATAGATAAGGCACATGCTGTACTGTGACAGAAATACATCCTGACACTAGTTCAATACTTTGTTCAGTTTCTGACGTATGACCTGCCCTCGTGAGGGACAGGCATGCAGATTGGAACAGGCCCAAGTAATGGTAAATAATGTCGCATGCAGACTGGTTTCCTGATGAGAAGCAGCTGTTTTCCTTACGCTTTATCAGCCATGGGTTAAAAATTTTCCATTTCTAAAAATTGTCCATTGGAAAAGATAATTTTGATCAGGAAATTACAGAGCCTGTGGGAAATCAAGGATGCATTTTTTGTTGCTCTAAAGCCATGCCTTTGTTGTTTAGTTGCTTAGTCGTGTCCGACTCTTCGTGACCCCATAGACCAGAGCATGGCAGGCACTCCTGTCTTCCACTGCCTCCCGCAGTTTGGTCAAACTCATATTAGTAGCTTCGAGAACACTGTCCCACCATCTCATCCTCTGTGGTCCCCTTCTCCTTGTGCCCTCCATCTTTCCCAACATCAGGGTCTTTTCCAATGAGTCTTTTCTTCTCATGAGGTGGCCAAAGTATTGGAGCCTTAGCTTCAGGATCTGTCCTTCCAGTGAGCACTCAGGGCTGATTTCCTTCAGAATGGATAGGTTTGATCTTCTTGCAGTCCATGGGGCTCTCAAGAGTCTCCTCCAGCACCATAATTCAAAAGCATCAATTCTTCGGCGATCAGCCTTATTTATGGTCCAACTCTCACTTCCATACATCACTACTGAGAAAACCATAGCTTTAACTACACAGACCTTTGTTAGCCTTTAAGGTGCTGGCCTGCACATCTGAGTTGCTTGAGAGGAAGGAATAGTATCAACTGGACCCTTATAAATCTGGGACTACTTTAAGGGGCATGTGCTCACTCCATTATATGAAAAGATTGGCCAGATAGGATCCAAAGTGACCCATATGCATATAGCTGTCAAAGGCACAGAAACCCTGTAAGTATTCTGCAATTGGCTCAGTTTACCTTATACCCCACACCAGAGATATGTCAAGGATTTGTCTAGATCCAAACCAGAGAAATCGTCAAACAGGCACACACTGCTTTCTAAATGCAGGAGAACACGCATATGAACAGACAGGCACCTGTCTGACTTGCTTGCTTTTACAGGGTTTTCTTGAGACCTGTGACTGAAATATCATAGGGAGAAGAACAATTAAGTTGTCAGCAAGTTCAGCAGTGCAGATAAGATCTGTCACTGTTTGATTACTTCGTGTGATTTTGAAGCCCTCTCTGTTTGCCTTAAGTATAGGTGTCTGATAAATATAGATGCCTGCTCAGATAAATAGCCTTGGAAATATCCTTCTGTTCGTCTCTCTCTCTCTTTCATCCAGGTAAACTTTCACTGGGTGGAAGGTGGGTGGCTCACCTCTGCCTGAAGACATTGGTTCAAAGCAAATATAGTTCAGGAAGCAACATCTGATAGTGTCTTTGTTAAACTATTACAATTATAGCCTGTTGCTCAGTGGAGCAGATTTATTGGAAGAGGGTGGAGAATGGGTTTATGCTGCAATTATGAGGATTGTGATGAAAGTATAATAGCTTCTTCTTTACTTGTTTCCAGTGTATTTTCACGTCATGCTCACTATATTTCTATAACACCCTTTTTGAAACTCAGCTTTGTTTCCTACTTTCATTTAATAAGTTAGGTGCTAGCTACTAATTCATTCAAGTTTTAAAGTGAAGCAATAGTAGTAGGAACCAAGTTTTGATTTTTTTAAAAAAATATAAATATTTTTATTCATTTTCAGGTCCACTGAACTATACAAGCAACAAAGAATATCACAAGACGTTGGTCGTTACAACTGCCTACGAGAATAAAAGTTATGAGTGTCCCAAATGTCTCAGTTGAATAAATCATCCCATAAGCTCAAATGAGAGTGTGGTGGTGATTTTTCCTGGCCTTCTGTTTCCATGTAGTCCAGAAATGGTTGCCAAGTGTTGCAAAAGCAATGGGGTTTTAATTCTGTTGCCTCCTGAGGGTCACTAACTGGGAACTGTTATGTAATTGAAGGGCATCTAATAGGGTTGCCATACATCTGGAATTTACCGGACATATCCAGAAAACGTCAGCAGTATCCAGGCGGAAATCGGTATTAAATGTCTGGGAAAATCCAGATGTATGGCAGCCCATTTTTCCATAGACATAGCTCAAAACCCCCGGCAAATTTGTACCTTTTCTATCCGTATTTTCACTTTTTGAAATATGGCAACCCTACTAATAACCATTGGGGCGCGGGTGGCGCTGTGGGTAAAACCTCAGTGCCTAGGACTTGCCGATCACATGGTCGGCGGTTCGAATCCCCGCGGTGGGGTGCGCTCCCGTCGTTCGGTCCCAGCACCTGCCAACCTAGCAGTTCGAAAGCACCCCCGGGTGCAAGTAGATAAATAGGGACCGCTTACCAGCGGGAAGGTAAACGGCGTTCCGTGTGCTGCGCTGGCTCGCCAGATGCAGCTTGTCACGCTGGCCATGTGACCCGGAAGTTTCTGCGGACAGCGCTGGCTCCCGGCCTATAGAGTGAGATGAGCGCACAACCCTAGAGTCTGGCAAGACTGGCCCGTACGGGCAGGGGTACCTTTACCTTTACTAATAACAATGTGAAACTTGCTGGTGAAGTATCCTGCTTCCCTGCGTCCAAAATTCTAGTCGGCTAATTCCTCACTGCCTGCTGTAAATTTCATAGTTCTGGAGTTCTGCAACTCTTGCAAATCCCTCTCTACTGAGGATGTTATTCTTTCAATAAACCAAGTATCTTTTTAGCAAAGCCACTACACTTGCAGGTCCCTTGTGCCCCCACCCTTGGGAGGTGAGCAAACCTAACATGTATGGTGGACCACCAGCCTTGTGGAAGCAAAGAGGATTAGACGAGATCATGGGGGATAAGGCTGCCCCTGACTGCCTGGCATATTCTCCCTCCATAGTTGGATGTTGGGAATAGCAGGTGGGCAGAAGGTTCTTGTGCCAGGGTCCTGTTCAGGAGCTTCCCTCAGGTATCTGCTTGGCCACTGTGAACGCAACACTCTGGCTAATAACTGTTAGTGAATATATAATCGGTATGATGCCATTCAAAATATACGAATAAAAGGTAAAGGTAAAGGGACCCCTGACCATTAGGTCCAGTCGTGACCGACTCTGGGGTTGCGGCACTCATCTCACTTTATTAGCCGAGGGAGCTGGTGTACAGCTTCCAGGTCATGTGGCCAGCAGGACTAAGCCACTTCTGGCGAACCAGAGCAGCACACAGAAACACCATTTACCTTCCCGCCGGAGCGGTACCTATTTATCTACTTGCACTTTGACGTGCTTTCGAACTGCTAGGTTGGCAGGAGCTGGACCAAGCAATGGGAGCTCACCCCGTCATGGGGATTCGAACCGCCGACCTTCTGATCAGCAAGTCCACGGCTCTGTTGTTTAACCCACAGCGCCACCCGTCTCCCTTAAATATACGAATAAGCCACTTCAAAATAACATATATATCCCGTCTCACACAAGTCTCAAAGGAAGAGCACTGATCCACTACTATGATCCTCACTAGTATGTATATTTCATTGATAATTATTTGCTGATGAAGACTTTATTCCGAAACAGTTGAACTATTCTGGATACACTGTCCTTTTGAGACCGGAGTTACGTCTTCCTTTGAGACTTTGGAGAGACGTCTTCCTTTGAGAGACAGTTTGGCGTTCCTCACTATTCATTGGTTGTTTCAACCTTCGTTTGACTCTGATACATATAACAACTTGCAGTTACTTGTATATTTTGTGAGATGTGTTGTATGATATATATTATTTTGAAGTGGCTTATTTGTATATTTTGAATGACACCATACCAATTTTATATTTACTAACAGTTATTAGCCAGCGTGTTGCGTTTGCATTTTTGTAGATTGTCACTTTTTGCAACACGGGGGTTTGTGTTTGTTCTGGCCACTGTGAAAGCAGGATGCTGCCTAAAATGGGCCATTGGCCTGACCCTGCTCAGGTTCTTGGGCTGTGTTCTTAGTGGCCTGTGATACTTGCCACACAAGATGAATGCCACTCTGGTGACTTTGCACCAGCTTCGCAATCCCTAAGACTACTTGCACACCAGCAGGAAAAGCAGTTCATGGAGTTTGCCCCAAAAAGGTTGGAGTAGGGGGAGATGAGAGATCTTTGAAAGCTTTCACTTCCCCATCAATCAATGTTGCTTTCAGGTGGTGTCATTTTTGATCAGGAAAGGAATATCTGTATTTGAATTAAGAATACAATCTAATGTGACTTGAACGGTTTTTATGTAGCTCTCTCTCATAAATTAATTTGTAATTTTTTATCGTGCCGCTTGTTCTGCTACATCGGTTTCAATTCAAACGTTTCTCTTTCTTTTCATCTCAGAAAATTGACGCAGTAAGTGCATCAGAGAGAGAACTATGGACAGCAACAAAGGAGAAGGCAACAATGGCCTTTCTTGCTATGGTGGAAAATTGATTGAAAAGCTGTCCAGCTTCATCCAAACATCTCTTGAAAAAACTGATTTCTTCTTCTTTCTAAATCACACAGAAGTAAAAAGTGTTGGGTTTTAAAACAAAACAAAACAAAACAAAACAAAACAAAAAGTGTCTTAGCTATTTAGTGCAGAATGTTTTATAAGGGTAATCAAGCTAGTTGCCCAGAATAGGCTGTGGGAATTGAGGTCCATGAAATCTCGTTTCAACTGCTTTTATATTTTCTGTCTGAGGGATATCCTTCCCAAACGACGAAGGGCGTTCCTTTGGCACAGTGTGTGTGGTAGATCTCTCTCTTTGTGAGCTTTCCTTGGAACAAGGGAAGACAATTGTGCCCTCCAGTGATTCCTGGCAAGAAAGTGTTTATTGGTCATCATTTTCTCTTTAGGAACGCCGCATGCTGGCAGCTAAAAAGGGCAGGAAGAGGTTTCTTAGAGAGAACCAGAAGACTGGAACTGTTTGCTTATAAGAAACCTCTCTCTAGCATACTTAAGCCATTTTATTTATTTACAATGAGGTTTTCATGACTTTCCCATAGAATGTCCATTAGATGTGGCAAAAGGGTTGTAATTCTTCCAAAGAAGAGGCAAGAAGCCTAGCTGGAAACTGCTGGACTGAAAGCTCAGTTTAACCCTTTTGAAACTTCACCCCACACTAAATGGGAAAGGAGACGGATCGGGGCAGAAAGATGCAAGACACACATTTATGCGGTTTAAGGCGAGTATCATTTATCTGGTTCTCTCAGCCAGCTGGCACGCTAATGGCTTATAAAATATAGCCAGACACACAGCGAGGCTCATGCTTATGAAAATAATAAAGTCACATTAAAATATTGAAGCCTTAGAAGTGGGAGCAGCGCTTAGGAAATGTGGAATTGTATCTCGGCAGATACTAAGAAAAACAATGTCTACTTCATTAAGAGACAAGAACTTTAAACAGTACTTGTCTTTAAAAACAGGAACGTTTTTATAAGCTGGGACATTGCAAGGCAACAACTAGATGCAGTATGTTTCTGTCAAACTTACCTGGCCTCTAACAACCCACTTTGCCCTCTGTGGCTCATTGAGATAAAGGACAGGTATGTTACCACAATGCAAGACCCAGCCAGGTGGTCTTTTTGATGATATTCCTCAGTTTGTTCCATTGTTGACTCCAATTCCTCAAGACTTCCACTAAATGCCTTCAAATGAAGACCACCTGATGTGTTTTGCAATCATTCATCTTGTTTAAAATGTTTTGCATCTGTAATCTAGAGTAGCTGAGGCCCATTTGTGTAACTAAGGCTATCAGGATTTGAACTTTAGACACTCTGGCCATTCAAGGCCTTCCTTCAACTTGTTCAGACTCTCTAAGGCATAAAGGAAATGTTGAGCATATATGAGGTGCCCAGTTCAAGCTTATTTAGACTGTGGCTTGAAGTTTCATCAATCATACCTCTTTTCATAAAGACACTTGCTGCTTTTTATTTGTAAACTGGTAAATCTGATAAACTTTCATCATTTAAGTTGCAAAAGGAGATCTCATAATGACTGCTTCAATCCACCCAAAAATTAGTGGAATTTTGCCCTCGTAAGCCTCATTCCTTGCCCAATAAGTGTGGGACGCCTTTACCCAGCAGCGCTAGGGCCCATAGCAAAATACTGGGCAGGTTTTTGCCCAGTATCTTGTCTGTGTGATAGGCTGATGGGGAAAAGCTGTCCCATGAGTCTTTGAAAAGGGGGAGGGAAAACCTACACAAGGAGCTCATGCCCATTTTGCTTTGAGAGCTTTATCTCCCATCTCCAATGGCCAGTCCTACTTTCAGGAAAGGCATACGAACCCTAATACATATGGCAGACATTTGGCTAAAGTTGCATCTTCTTGCCATTCCCACCATGAACATATTGATTGTTCACAGTCTTGCTTGAAATGAGCATATTAATCAATTAATTATTCTAGTTGTAGACTGGTTGCTTCTTGTTGATTAATGAAGTCTTAAAATACAGGGTTGGGTGGTGGTGTGTGTTTTTTAAAAGCAATAAGAACTGAGTGTTTTAAAGTTCAAATAAATAATTTGTCCAGAAAGTATAACCATCTGCCAGACCCTTGGTCTGTTAGTGTTATTCTTTTTGAGTCACTGGGGAAGATGACCAAAGTGCCAAAACCAAATATGGAACATACCTTCTGGGCTCCTCTCCAAAAGACGTGAAAAGAAGGATGCTTAATGCAAAGAGAAATTTATGATGATAAAAAAAAGAGTACTTACTTAGTACAAATGAACAACAGATTTACACTGTGAAATAGAGGTCATAAGTACGCTTCTCAATTATTTCACTTCAACAGCCAATTCTGGACAGAGAGTCACTCAGACGCCTGGGGCTGCAGCTCAAGCCGGGACTCTGACAGTCCAGGCCCCATTTACCTGTTCGCCAGGTAAATCTGAGGCCACTGCTTTGAAGAGGGAATGGCAAGCTATTCCAGCAGGCATCTGGCCTGGGGGATCTTTATGCATTTATTTAGACCCAACAAAGCACCATATAGCTACCGCCTATAGATTGGCATATTCTCCAAAAACTAAAGCAGGGATGAATATGTGAAACTAGGGGTAGATATCAATTCCGGTTTCTCTCAGTTTTCTTTTTTCTAACCTTACATTCAGCTTACCATATTTCTGTATCAGCTAGCACTTAAAAAAAAGGACAAATTAAAAATTGTCAATAATTTTAGTGCACACATCTCCTAATATACACCTACGTTCCATATGTTTTCTTCACTATTTTATGCACATTTTGTAGACACTCCACTAATGGATGCATCTTTGTATATTTTTTGTGTTGGAGAGTTGCGCCACAAGAGAGCTGCACAATTTGAAGGAAAGCTGCATTTTGTCCTGCATATTGTTTTGGGAATTGCAAATAGATAGGGCTGCATTAAAATTCAAAGCAAAACAAATTTCTCCCACATATCCCTATGTGAAAACACACACACACCACACATTGCCTTGAATTGTATGATTTAGCAGTTTCGATTGCCCATTGATATTATGAGGCTAATAAAAAAAAAACCACCTCTGAGATCTGGATAATGTGCTCTGTCTTTTATATTAATTTAATACTTTTTTAATTTTTGACTAGGAAGTTCATAAGGGACTATTTGGGGCAACCATTTTTTAGTTAGCATTTGCAATACTGGCAAGATTCACATTCATTCACAAATGCATACACATTACGTGATTTTTCATTACTTCATCATTGTACACTTGATTATAAGCAGCTGAATGTATGAACTGAATTCAGCAAAAAGCTTTGCATTTTGAAGTTGTGTTAAGATCTGTGATAGCCTGATAGCACATGCAAGCCATTGCTGGACGTTGCAGTCAAGATGTGGGGTTAGAGTTCTACAAACTAGATATATTATCCATGGAGTCTTCTGCAAACAGGACTGTAAAAATATCATAAAGTCAAAAAGTGAGAAAATCATAGCTTTCGAAATATGTGAGAGCCTATGCTCATCATAAACCAATCTTGACTTGGGATACTTAATTTTGGAACAGTTCTTACAGAACTTAAAGCAAACCATCTGAATATAATCAGTCTATCGTGCTTCTGGATTCCTAACATAAATCACCTAAGATCACTGTATATAGACATCACACTGAACTTGATTACATCATCTTCAAATATGCTGTTTCCAAATGCTGGTCTATGGTGCTGTTTTCATGATCTCGTACCTGATTGAAATGGAACCCTTTCCAATTCTAACCCTAACTTGGGCCCCGTGAGTAAGAAAACACTTTTCAATCTCTTTCACATTTGTGAAGAAAGGAACATGAAAGTATGGAAAACTTAATTTGATGGAAATAAAAGCCCTAGAGCGGTTTTCCAGTTCTTGGGAAGATCAGCCTATAAAGTTCCTCCTGGCTTTAGTAAAGACACTAGAGCACATCTTATGCTATCTTCCATCATAGCTTTGATTAATAAGGAACGTTCCAGACATTCCTATTCTGCAGATATTTCCATCTTAGTAAAAGTGACATCACATATTTAGGAACATTGCCCACAATAACAGATTTCTTTTGCGAAGATGGGTTTATCTGCACAGATATTTTGCACATTAGCTAGATCCTAGCAATGTTCTCGTTCTTTCTTAACAGAATTGGGTATATGAGGCAAAATGTGTGAGCTAAACGTACTGATATAATGATAATTTTTCATGAGGACTTTGGAAACAAACCAAAACACAGATGTGGAAATGTGGAGATCTAAAAAGGAATACATATTGTCCAACATCTCCTAGATGGCAATAGGAACACTCAGATGCACTTTGTACTAAAGCGTGTTCTCCTTCATGGAGAGCACGTGTTGCAGTGGGGTCTGCTGAGCCACCCCTCTGTTACCAGGCAGGGTCTCTAAAGATGGCCTGGGGCAGTGATTGGTTCACTGGGTTGCTGGGGTAAAAGTTATGTTGCAATTTTGGTGGGAGGGGTAAAATGTTTAAATACTCTGCACGCAGCCTGGAGCTTTCTCTTTGCTGCGTGCAACGGATCACACACACCCCCCGCCCTAGAGTAAGGGGTTCTTGCATTGACCTTGCTATGCCTGTCATGGGGTCGTCTGCCATTGGGGCAGGGGCCTGGTAGGAATTTTGTCCATCTGGCTGATTGGCTGGGCCATTTGGTTTTTGCCTACTGCGTAGCAAATCGTCACAACTTGTAAGGTTGTGGTTAGGCATTGGTTATAAATTGGTGGAGGAGGGGTTAGGATAGGCTGGGCCTGCCCCTCCATGGTTGCTGCGGAAAGGGAATTCCGTTAAAGGAATCCTGGGGCTTGCCATCTTTTGTCCAATCCCTGGAATGGGACTAGGGCCGGCAAGCCTTCGGGGAGCATGCGGATGAGAATTGAGGGTCTGTGACTCAGCTCCATTTCTCCCCGACTTGTT